AAAAATACAAAAAAAGAGCCGGGCGCGGTGGCTCAAGCCTGTAATCCCAGCACTTTGGGAGGCCGAGGCAGGTGGATCACGAGGTCAAGAGATCGAGACCATCCTGGTCGACATGGTGAAACCTTGTCTCTATTAAAAGTACAAAAAATTAGCTGGGCATGGTGGCGCGTGCCTGTAATCCCAGCTACTCAGGAGGCTGAGGCAGGAGAATTGCCTGAACCCAGGAGGCGGAGGTTGTGGTGAGCCGAGATCGCACCATTGCACTCCAGCCTGGGTAACAAGAGCGAAACTCCGTCTCAAAAAAAAAGAAAAAGAAAAGAAAAAATATCTGGGCATGGTGGCAGGCGCCTGTAGTCCCAGCTACTTGGGAGGCTGAGGTAGGAGAATCGCTTGACCCGGGAGGCGGAGGTTGTGGTGAGCAGAGATCCTGCCACTGTCTCCAGCCTGGGCAACAGAGGGAGACTCCGTAGTCTTAAAAAAAAAAAAACAAAAAACAACTTTATCATAAGTATTTATGTATAGAAAAAAAAGCAACATATATAGGACTAAGTCCTTTTCTCAGTTTCAGACATCCACTGGGGATCTTGGAAGCCCCCAGGTAAGGGGGACATCTACCATAGTCAGTAATTGAACACTTTATCTAAATTTCTAGGGTAATTTAGGAACGTGTTCATTTTTCAGAATGTGAGGATATACTGACACCTGATATTCACCTTAGGATAAATAATATAAAATGGGCATTTGAAAGTCTTTGAGAGAAGGGAACAGGTTTTAGAATTAACAAGTAGTTCCACATTTTAGCTTCATTTACATGTTAGTTTTTAAAAAATAAATGTCAACTGTCCTTTAACTATTCATCTTAGTAATGGCACTTGGTGCCAAAAGTGAACAAATATTCTGCAACAATAAAGAAAAGGGTATGTGAATAAAGGCAGCCAGGCAATAATAAGTCATCTGTCTTAGAAAAATCACAGAAGAGGAGCTTAGACCTTATGAAGGAAACCAAGTGAGTAAATGTCAAGTGGGAGATGAGCTTCCTTTTGATATTTCCTCCCTTGTGACTGATCAACTTGTGAATGACAAGTTGCGGCATTTCTGACATAAAACTGATGCTAAAGCAAACATATTTTTCTATTGTCTGTCTTGGTGCTGTCTGCACACTCAAACTTCATTTCCAAAGGGAATATGCCTAGCTCCACCTTTCCATAAAAGACCACATCTCTAAATATATTTCAGGAAATACAACATGGATTTGAGGATCTCTAATGTACACTGTGTAATGAAGTAATATGCCTTGATGGAAGGCCATGTGAGAAATTGACATTCTTCCACTAATACATAATCACAAGAGGTTTTGTGATATTATAGTTGTACTCCCATTATCCAGTTCTACTAAGTGAATATAGGGAAGTTTGAGGGCAATTTGCTTATTTTTAGCAGCAAATCACCATTTTTTAATGAGTGGGATTTAGAGAGCTTGAAAAGATGAAAAGGCTTTCTAAATTTGCAAAAATAAATTGGCCTTAGGAAAAGTTACACTTTGTATGATAGTCATTGTCCAAATCACAAATTTTAATGGTATCCACTCAAACATTAGTGTGTAAATTTCATGAGAGGCATGGTAATTCTCAGTTTAATAGGCCTGACTTCGATATACCTTTGATAATATGCGTACTGAAGATTACATATGTGCAAAACGCTCCACAATGATTTATATGGAAATTTTTAAATGTTTTCTGTGATGTAATAAGCATTTTATGTTTCTACTTTGGTTTGTAATTAGCATCCCTATTTCATGAACATAAATTTAACACATAAAATAAATTTCATAAGTAATTTAAAAAATAAATTTCATAATAAAATATGAGTAATTTATTTAAAAAATGTAATATTCAAATATCTTGAGTTTTAAAAATCATTGCTATTTCTGGATGAGGAATCTGAGTCCAAGGAAAGATGCAAAGCTTTTCTTTTCTTGACAGAGTTTTGTAATAAAAAAATAAAAAACAACTATGCCTCACTAAGGGTGGTGGGCAACACTGGCAGTAGATTCAAACTGTACAGAAACATACTACAAAGGCCTGCAAATCTGACCGTCCCAACACCTTCATCCATTTTATATTTTGGGCCCTCATTCCCCTTCATCTCCTTGCTCTAGCCATACTGGCTATTTTCCATCTGCCTTGTAGCTGCTTCTCAGGGCTTTTAGATACATGCTTCGACTTGTGATTTTTTTTAGATCTGATCTAAGAACTTTCTGATCTATAAACTTTCTATAATCTCTAGAAAGTCTACTGCCACTATTAAATTAAGTCACAGCACAAAGCTACCATTTAATATCTCTTTATTAAATATTTAGATATTTATATTTTGATAAGCTTATAAGCTCCCACATGGGCAGGGACTCTGTAGTTGCATTTATCATTATATCTTTAGTATTTGGTATCTAGTTTCTAATAAATCAACTTAATAAACTGACTAATTAACCACACATAACATTCATCAGCTTTGGAGCTATGGTTACTGTTATTGGTTTGATTGGCAAGACAACAGTGAACTCATTAAGGTCATCACTTTCAAAATGAGAGAGAGAATCCCCCAACCAAGAAGAACTTACCACAGTTGACTTCATCGGTACGATCACCACAGTCATCCACCAGATCACATAACTGAAGCTTTTCTATGCAAGCCCTGGTGTGGTGACACCAGAAATGATCCGGCCCTTCACAGCTCTCAGCAGGAAGGGGGAGAGTACAATTTCAAATCGGATGTCATCAATAGCTGAGACCCCATCATAAATGCCCAGACTGACTTTATCTAGTGACAAGTGGAAGGGCTGAGAAAGGCGTCCTAGCTGAATGATTGCCTTCGACCATAGGTTGCCCTGATTGTATAATACTCTCCACAGCACTGTTGAGTCATGAGATTTTTCCATATGTAGTTGCAGCTCAGCTGCTCCCACTGACAAGCCATAGTTATAGAACCTAAAAAAGAGTGAATATAAGAAATGCAAGTGATTTATAGAAAAGACTACATATGTAGCCTTTAGACTTTTCTACTCAGTCAACAGTCAATGTCTTTATGATAACTCATAAAAGACATTTTTCTTTCCTGCAATAACTGTGGCCGTCCATTTGCAAGAGCTTATCTGCTAAAGCACACACTCTGTGATCCTCACAACGCTGGGAACTTGTCTCAGGGAGCTCAGTACAGTACCAAAGGAAGCAATCTTAATTAAATTATAATCCACAGTTGGAGGGAAAGAGCCCCTTTCATCCTAAGGAAGAAAGCAACATATACTGATAACATGCTCCTAAGTAGAATGCAAATCGTGTGAATTTAATGCAACAGCTATTTTTGGAGTAAAACCAGCAGTAAACCACAGTAATGAATAAGTGCCGAAGTGTGCTTGCAAATCCTTGACCAATAGGGTAACTGATCATTTTGTTTAATATTTACCAGAAGGAAAGTATGCATCCAGGTCCTGTCTGGCTGTAAGTTGGGCTCTGGAGCTTAGCAACTTGCCACAAGCTGCTGCTTTCCTTCAGAATGAACATAAAATGCCCTGTTGAGATACAAAAACAAAACCTCCATTAACCTACTGGATTCTAAAATGAGACATCTGTGTCTTAACACTACACTGAGCAAGATCACTGTCCAACTGAAATTAAAGTTATACAATAAAAAATCAATCAGTGACTCTTAGTCAAATTTGCTCTCATAAATGTTGAACCACTATCTACATCTCATGCTAAATGACACCAAAAACAATTAACAATTGCAGGTAGTTCGGCCAAAAATATATCTATATGCCATCTGTACCATCCATAAAGGAATCAGTCCATGCAGCACAATTATAATTGACAATATTCCAACTGACAGTTTGTTGCAGTATCACAGAACCATACCAGCTTCCCTCTCTCTTCTGAGGTTTAACTACACAGTAAATAGCAGTGGTTAGAAAGTCCTGTTTTCTTCTTACCTTGAGATGTGTTGAGACTATGATCCTGAGGTGGAGCCTGGTGCTCAAAAACAGTGGAAAGTTCACTCTGAGAGCTCCATACCCAGTCAAAATGGTCACCACTAATTGCTTCAAACCAACCACAGCTGTTTGCTTCAAAATCACACTTGGAAACTGAAGAACAAAAATATGGCTCTTATGCTGGCTCTCCAAACAGCTCCCACACTTTGAAAAGGCAGAGCTCAAATGGAAATCACCTTATGCTTCTCTATGTACATGAAGGGCATGAAGGGACATATTTGAGAACATAAAAAAAGGATCCTTTCTCACTTGCAAAAATGGAGCTGTACTTTCCATACTGGAAATTGAGAAGGCAGAATTCTCAATTCAAGAAATTCAAATTTTTTTCCAAATATTTTAAGAAACATCATCATTCAGCTTGGTTGCTTATAGAATTGCCAAGGTATGTCTAATGCATGCTGATATTTAATGTCAGTTTCCCAGCTACTACTACACCAGCTTGAGGGCGTCACTGTTTCTGCATGGTGTTTTATGTTAACCATGAAAAGCTGCTACTTCTAAACAATTTAACATGTGAAGAATCCCAGATACACTCTATTTAATACAATGTGTACCCCAGGTTTGTATAGAGCTTAGTATTTCACAAAGTGTTATGTGCATTGCTTAACTGTTGCAGAATAAAAAATTTGAACTATTTTCAGATAAATATGTAGAGAAATCAGTTATATTCTGCAAAGATATTCTAGAAGAGAAAGAAGAAAAAGGAAAATGAGAAAAAAGGAAAAAATTATAATGTTAGTGGTGCAATAGTACAGCTAATAGTTATTGAACACTTTCTGTAATAGACCCTGTGTGGAATATATAGATCTAACTTTAACAAACAGCCCTATAGGAAGGTATTATTGTTGTTATTTTATAAAGATGCCAGAGAGGTTGAGAGTAGTTATTAATGTGACCAAGGTCAAATAGTTAAGAAGTTGTAGAGTGGGATCGTAACCCAAATATTGTGACTCAGAGGCTAATATCTTTCTCCAACTGTTAACAGTAAGTGTTAACTGTCATTAGATTGAACAAGAATAAACCAAAAAGGCATAATCTGAATTTACTTGGAATGAACATTCAGCTGCTACTACATAGACCAAGGTAAAATGAAGTTCATTTTCATTGATGATGATTACACTGATATTCTTAGCCATTAGCTATTTTTATCCAGGAATATAGTCATAAACTGTGTAGACATATCCTTGTAAAATAAATTAGGAGGTAAACAGTGAGTTTAGGGTAAAAAAGTATAAACTAAATCACTAAATGAGATTACCAAATTTAAAATTATAAGATCATTTTAATCTAATAACAAAGTTATAGGGAATTTAACCTAATTGTAAGAGCATTTTAACCTAATGACAAAATTATCCTTTTGAATCTTGAAAATGCCTCTTCTACATGGAGAAGAATGTGAGATGATAATATTATAAACACCTTCTAAGTTTTATAGTTTCTATGAAGTGTCTAATTTCAAAAGCTTATTTGCATTCTATCAAATTTCCTGGCCTCAATTTGACTAGCAAAGTAGTTCTGAATCTTATCAGAATCAAAGGGGATATATATACATCTATATATCTAAAAATAAAAACTTAAAAATAAAACATCTACTTTAATATGCAAGAGACAGCTATACTTTAGTATATAAAGACAAAAACAAGTAAAATGAAAGCTTTACTATATTTAAAGATTTTTCAAGTAAAGTTTACAAATGTGTGGTAAAGCAAAATCATGTACTGCTCAAAAATTTAAAATAACAATAGTAAATAATACAAGTTAGAAATAAAATGCAAAGGATATTTGTCTTCATACAGTTAAAAACTATCTCTATAAGTATATAATATACAAACAACACATAAATATGCATAGAGTCTAGGGTTTTCAAAGTATGTAGATGTCATTTTGATACCTGGGAAGCAAATGCTTTTGATTCTTATTTCAGACAACCTGGGAAACTGGATCTAGGAGTTATTGTTATGTAAATATAAGAGGAAAACAGGTTATTGCTACTGTATAATATCTATCTCACACAGCTACCTGGAAAGGGAACCTTATTATCTGCTATTCAGGGAGGTACTGCTATAGAAATAAGAGAGTATTCCAATGATAGCAAAATTTCAGAAATCATTGCAGTGACTTTGTAGTTTTCTTAGATAAGACTCTTTAAAGATAGTAATTTTTCAAAAGATAATTATGCTGTTAAAATTCAAATATGCATTTCTAGTGTTCTTTAGACTCAGATTTAAAAACTTTCCTTGATTGATTATAAATGTAATAATCAATCATTTTTTTATTTATTAATTTATTTTTTTGAGATGGAGTTTCACTCTTGTTGCCCAGGCTGGAGTGCAAAGGTGCAGTCCTGGCTTACCACAACCTCCATCTCCCAGGTTCAAGCAATTCTCCTGCCTCAACCTCCCGAGTATCTGAGATTACAGGCATGCACTACCACGCCCAGCTAATTTTGTATTTTTAGTAGAAATGGGGTTTATCTATGTTAGTCAGGCTGGTCTCAAACTCCCAACCTCAGGTGATCTATCCACCTCAGTTACTCAAAGTGCTGGGATTACAGGTGTAAGCCACCACACCCTCTAGTTAGCTGTTAATTAATTATATGCTTCACTAGAACAGCTTTGAAAAATTATATACATATATAATTTCTACATAGAATTATATATCATAAATACATATATAGTACATGTATGTGTGTGTGTATATATATATATATATATACCCACACCCACATGTATACATATATAAAATTTCTTTTTTTTTTTTTTTTTTTGAGACGGAGTTTCACTCTTGTTACCCAGGCTGGAGTGTAATGGCACGATCTCGGCTCACCGCAACCTCTGCCTCCTGGGTTCAGGCAATTCTCCCGCCTCAGCCTCCTAAGTAGCTGGGATTACAGGCACGCGCCACCGTGCCCAGCTAATTTTTTGTATTTTTAGTAGAGACAGGGTTTCACCTTGTTGACCAGGATGGTCTCGATCTCTTGACTTCGTGATCCACCCGCCTTGGCCTCCCAAAGTGCTGGGATTATAGGCTTGAGCCACTGCGTCCGGCCCTACATATATAAAATTTCTAAGTTAGAAAAGGAGAAATACAATAGCTGGGAATGTTTTAACAATTGAAGTCCAAGAATTAGACAATAGCCTGGGTATGTTTCAATAATTGAGGCCAAGAATGTTTCACTGTTTCTGGAGCATTATTAACTTTCTCAGTTACCATCATCAGAATTCTCATGATTTGCAATAATAATTGCAATGAGCATTTACACAAGGTTTGGTGTATAGCAAGCCTTGTGCTAGGGGCTGTTACAGGCATAACATGATGCCCATTGACACAAAATTCCTATTTAGCATATGTACCTCAAAGCCCAAAGTACAATAAAAATAAAATTATGACTGTCTATACTATGGCTATGGATTGAAAAGCTAATGATTCTACAGTAGCTTTTAGTTACCGTGAGAAAAATTACCTGAATTACTTCTACTAATTATGTAAATATTACATCAGTTGCCCCTGGAGAAAAGACATGAGGGAATACGTGGTGGGCTGGCTCACAGGTCCATCCCTGTCATTCTTTGAGCTCTTCATTGAGATAAAAGAAATTGAATTTATGTAGAAGCCAAAAATCCTCATGCAGTGGGGGGGGGGGGGGGGTTCCAAAAGAGTCTTTATTATTTCAGATTCACTGTCTCAAACTTCTCTGATGGTTTAGGATGATTCTACTGAGGTTTGTTGGCAAGGAACAAACATGGAGTGTACAAAAGAGAAGTCTGATGTCTAAGCTGGTAATTGGAGCCTCACACAAAGATTTAAAAAGTCCCAGAAGGAATACGTCCTGACACATCATGTGGTTGAACTTTGAACAGCTGAACTCCTGTTGTCAGCCACAGAGGCAAGATGCTCATGTTGAGTGAGAAAAACAAAATAAAACAAAAACAAAATGAGCCTGAGCATGCGAGTACTAATTTTAAAAAGTTAAAACCCAGACCCAGACGAGAGGTGCCGTTGTGACTTAGAGAAAGATCTGAACCAGAAAGAATATACATGTAGTGTAAAAAACATCTGTTGATACATATGTCATCTAATTTAATCCTCATGGAATATCAAAGGAAATACTGTTGTCCCTATCTCATTTATTTTTATTTTGAGACCATCTCATTCAGTTGCCCAGGATGGAGTGCAGTGACATGACCTCAGCATATGGCAGCCTCAACCTCCCAGGCACAGACAATTCTCCTGCCTCATCCTCCCGAGTAGCTGGGAACACAGGTGCATGCCACCATGCCTAGCTATATATATATTTTTTTAATTTTTGTTAAGATGGGGTCTCCCCATGTTGCCTATGCTGGTCTCAGGCTCAAGGGTCCTCCTGCCTCAGCCTCCCAAAGTGCAGGGTTTACAAGTGGTAATCCACTGTGCCTGGCTGTGTCCCATTTTTATATTTTATTTTATTATTTATTTTATTTATTTGGAGATAGAGTTTTGCTCCATACCCCAGGTTGGAGTGCAGTGGCACAATCTCAGCTCACTGCAACCTCCACCTCCCAGGTTCCAGCGATTCTCATGCCTCAATCTCCCGAGTAGCTGGGATTACAGAGCCCACCACCACTCCTGACTAATGTATGTATTTTTAGTAGAGATGGGGTTTCGCCATGTTGGCCAGGCTGTTTTGAACTCTTGACCTCAAGTGATCCACCCTCCTCAGCTTCCCAAAGTGTTCGGATAACAGGTGTGAGCCACTGCATCTGCCTGTGTCCCTGTTTTAGATATGAGAAATATGAGATTGAAAGAGGAGTGACATATAATTCATAACTCTTGTGATGATTCTAACACAGACCTGATGGCAAAGCTTATGCTCTTTAAAATTATACAGATTCTATTAAGTTAAACCATTAATAATAATTATAACAATTTTTAAACAGCTATCCTATCCCAAGCATGATGCTGTGTGTTTTTAACGGAAGATAATACAAAATCAAAATATTATGACCTTGGGACAGAGTCTGAAAATAGGTGTCAAACCATGCAATAGTAAAGGTCGTTAAGTCCATCACAGTGACTCTTCTTGTCCCTTTTAAGATTTTTTTTCCTCTAGATTTTGTGACCCTGCTGTAAGTTACAGGAAGGAGGACAAAAGTTAATTGAGTATTCTAGCATGTTGGCTTAGGTTCATAGAGGTTGTCCTTTATTTGATTAAGCATTTGTTATAAACTCCAAAGGCATGAATACCACATTCTCTGTTTTGGAAAATGTTCTGTAACACTGTAATTCTTTTGAGTTTCAGGCTTTTCAATGCATTTTAATGGTTATGTGTTTGAAGTTATCATAAGATTGAGGCAATTAAACTCTAGACTTCATCAATATTTAATAGTCATTAATTATTTAAAACAACATGTACAATAGTAAGGGAATGTTTGCAAAAGTACCATAAGATTATTTTAAAGATGTGTACATAAATGAATAGAAATAATTAAATATTTATACAATGTCAATAACATAACTAAATCATTATTGTATTTGAAGGAAGAATAATTAATTACACTATTCTACCCATGGCTTCAAGGGTCTCCTGAGATCTAGACAATGCAGGCACTTTTGGGAGACAATTCCTCATGGGTCTCTTACATTTCTACACAGGTTATGAGCAGGGCCATTAACTGCTCAAAACAGCAGGGCTGTCCCTTTGTTCCAGCCCTTTCAAGGATATTTAAATAGCAGAGCTGTGAAAGACAGATAGTGACCCCCTCTACAACAGAAGGCAAGTTATTAACCTGTAGAATAAAGATAATGTCTCCTCTAAAGAAAAGGTCAGAAAAGTTTGTTTGCTGCCCATTATAAAAGATTTAACTTACGCCATGGAATATTATGCAGCAATCAAAAATGATGAGTTCGTGTCGTTTGTAGGGACATGAATGAATCTGGAGAACATCATTCTCAGCAAACTGACACAAGAACAGAAAATGAAATACCGCATATTCTCACTCATAGGTGGGCAATAAAGACAGAGAACACATGGACACAGGGAAGGGAGTACCAAACACTGGGGTCTATTGGGGGAAGAGGGGAGGGACAGCGGGTGGGGGGAGCTGGGGAGGGATAGCCTGGGGAGAAATGCCAAATGTGGATGAAGGGGAGGAAGGCAGCAAAACAAACTGCCATGTGTGTACCTATGCAAATGTCTTGCATGTTCTGCACATGTACCCCAAAACCTAAAATGCAATAAAAAAAAAAGAAGTGAAAAAAAAAAAAGATTTAACTTCCATAAGTTTTGGGCCTCTTTTGCGGTGATGCAAGCCTGCTTCATGTGTATACCTATCTGCCTGGGCACCTCTCTGTTGCCTCTTACTCTGGGAACATGGGGTGCAAGAAGAACCAAGGCAAATATGTTGCTCACAACATTTGTCACACCATTTGTGATAAAGTCATCTGTCTGTGACACAGGAATCTCACCTCTTCTGTCAGCATCCATGAAACAACGGCAGTCTAACTTGTTTCCTTACAGTTGGGTAAAATTTTAGGCCCTTCACAATACTTGACACTATAGTAAATACCTATGTATACTATCACTATTGAAAAGCTTAGAATCTAGTGTGGGGAATTCATAAGCAAGTAGGCCATTGTGGTAGAGTAAAAATCACTATGTGCTCATTTATTCATTTGACAAAAACTGAGCAAATACATGTTATATGTCTGCCCAAGTATAAAGTCTAAGAGCACAGCAGGAAAAAGAAAGAAAACCTCTGTCCTCATGAATTGTACGTATAAGAGTGAGGGGGTGTGGATATTAGGGGAGGTAACAATACGAACACAAGATAAATGAGTAATAGTAAAAGGGCTAATAAAAATAAGGAAGAAAACTGAAAATGTTACAGCAAAGGGCTGCAATTTTATCAATGATCAATGAACACTTTATAGAAAAGTTGGCAATTAGGTAAACAGCTAAAGGAGGTAGGTGAGGAAGCAAGTCATGTAGCTATGCAAGTAAAGGACACCCACCACCAAGGGAACCGCAGGGACAAAGCCTTGAGGCCAAAGCATGCTTCTCATGTTTCAGATGTCAGATACCAGGGTGTTGCAAGGACAATGAATGAGGGTAGAATAAGAAGACATTAAATTAGACAGCTCACATCTATTTTTTGGCTGTAATTTTGAATGAGATGGGAAACAACTGGGACATTTTAAGCAGAGGGGTGACTTTACTCAAAAATATCTGACTTTACTCAAGAGAGTAGAGGACAAAAATGGAAAGAGAAGAATATTGCGAAATCCAGACAAAAATTGAGAATGGTCAGTTTCAAGGTATAATATGGTTGGCTCTGTGTAATCTCACCTTGAATTGTAATCCGCAGGTGTTGAGGAAGAGACCTGGTGGGAGCTGATGGGATCATGGGCTGGTTTTTCCCATGCCATCCTCGTTCTAGTGAGTGAGTATTCATGAGATCTGATGGTTTAAAAGTGGTACTTCTCCCTTCATTCTCTCTCTTACCACCATGTAAGATGTTTCTTACTTCCCCTTCACCTTCCGCCATGATCATGAGTTTCCTGAAGCCTCCCCAGCCATGCAGAACTGTGGCTCAATCAAACCTATTTCCTTATAAATTACCCAGTCTCAGGCCATTCTTTATGGCAGTGTGAAACAGACTAATACAGGATGGTAGCAATGCAGACAAAAATGGGCCATTCTGGAGATATTTGAAAGCAGACATGACAGGATTAATTGATAGCAAAGGTGTAGTAGGAGAAAAAGAGAAGTTAATAGGATTTCAAAGTCTTTAATCTGAGCAGGTTGGGAGACAGGTTTGAAGGTTGTTGGGGAAAACAGCATCTCAATTTTGGATGTGTTGCATTTGCTGTTCCTATTAGGTATTCAAGTGATCTTGTCAAGTCAAGAGCTGGAGGTATGAATCTAGAGTTCACACGATAAGTTTAATCTGGGTAAATAAATTAGAAAATTACCAAAATGACAAAGAGAAGGCATAAAAAATAGGAGAAAAAACCATAGTGGTGCCTCATGTCCTGGAAGCCAATTCAAGTTTAAGTATTTTAAGGAGGAGG